ATGCTTTTTTTTCGCCATTTTTTTTCTTCAATCATTTAGTTACAAATTTTTGAAAGCTATCAAACAATTTGAACCTTTGCCGTGCAGCCTCATAAGCGCTACATAAGTCACGTTTAAGCCGAAGTACGTCTGGATATTTATGCTCAACCATTTCGATGATATAGTGAAGTAAATTTCGATCGGCTCGTAACGAATTTCGTACATCCGACAGTTCACGAAGTGATGCTAACAAAAAACCTGAAAATGAAACTTGTCATACAAACGCCACTGTATAAATATTCTTGAATGTTTTTTTTTCTTCTTCTAAAATTGTTGCCTCAGTTTTTGTTTTTTTTCGCTGTTCCCTTAAAAAAATTCAAAGTGTTTGCCATACTTTTTCATGTCTTTTTTTACTTCTCAATTTTTTTTTTGCCTTTACAAATTTAAAAATTTTTTTGCATAATTTTTTTAATGATTTACCCGATGCATTGCCATTTCGTTTTTCATAGTTCAAATAGTTGCCAACAGCTAAGACAACCTGTAATAGCGTCCGAAGACGTTTACTGTTGGCAACAGAAGTTGATGCATTTGTAACAGCTGAAAAAAAAAAACGAATATTTTACACATTTTTCTTGTTTCACCAGCAGCAACATCAGTATCACAACTATAAAAATTGTCTAACAAAATTTTTTTTTGTCAAAAAAAAAAAAAGAATGAAAAATTTTCATGTTATAGTTGGTGAAACAATATATGCAACAAAAAAAAAAATGATAAAAAAAAGAGACTGAATAAAAAAATTTTTGATTTTTTCAATGAATATTTTTCGGTACAATGAGGTCACACCAATTAAGTACCGGTCTCCACGACCTCCTAATTTTTTCGGTTTTTTTTGCTTCAGCATAAAATGACCATTCTAGATTATGAAATAGCTTTTTTTATTATGAGATAGCTTTTCTACTTTTCTCTCAAAAAAATAAATGATAACTAAAAGATGGCAGCTAGTAAGACGGTTAAACCGTTACCAGTCGTTGGCTACTCGTTTCATTTTCTTGACTGTTACTGTGTGAACAAAAACCAAATCTGTGCTGGAGAAGCTCAGTGTAACTAATTCGGTCAAAAAGACTATTCAATACAACACTAAGTTTTGTCAGTTTAGTTTTCAGTAAAATAACTTACCTTGAATAGCTTTGGTAACATCGTCTAATCGCTCTCGAAAAGTACATATAATATGTAGACATCTAAGACGTTGTTCGTAGCGTGGAATGCTAAAAAA